TTTCCCTGATGGCTAAAGATATTGAATATTTTTTTCATGTATTTATTAGCGATTTGTACTTCCTCTTTTGAGGACTGTCTATTCAGTTCAATTGCCTGTTTATCAAGTGAATTTTTTTTTTTTTTTGGTGTTTACTTTTTTGAATTTTTACATAATCCTGATACTAATTCTCTGTCAAATGCATAGCTGGCAAAGATTTTCTCTCATTTTGTACCTTATCTATTCATTCTGGTCATTGTTTCTTTTGAAACAATGTGGAAGCTTTTTAATTTGCTGTAATCCCATTTTTCATTCTTGCTCTCATTTCTTGAGCTATTTGTAGGAGTCCTATTTAGAAAGTCATTGCCTGTATATCTTTGTTTTCCCCTGGTAGTTTCAGTTTCAGGTCTTAAATTAAGGTCTTTGATCCAATTTGAGTTGATTTTTATGCAAGATAAGAGCTATTCAGTCTTCTACATGTGGATGTCCAGTTTTCCCAGCACTATTTGTTGAAGAGGCTGGCTTTCTCCAACATATGTTTTGGTATCATTGTTAAGAGTCATATGGCTGTAGTTTCATGGGCTTATTTCTAGGTCCTGTGTTCTATTCCATTGGTCTTTGTTTCTGTTTTTGTGCCAGTACCATGCTGTTTTGGTTATTATGGCTCTGTAGTACAATTAGAAATCAGGTCTTTTGATACCTTCAGCATTTCTGTTTTTGCTCAGGATTGCTTTTTACTATTCAGGGTTTTTTGACTTCCATATGAATTTTAGGATTTTTTTTTCTATTTCTGTGAAGAATGACTTTGATTGGATTTTGATGGACATTGCATTGAATCTGTAGATTACTTTCAGTAATATAGCCATTTTCACAATATTAATTCTGTCAGTCCATGAACATGGGAGGTCTTTCCATCTTGGGAGGTCTTTCCATCTTCTAGTGTCATCTTCAATTTGTTTCTTTTATAGTTTTCATTGTAGAGGTCTTTCACTTCCTTAGTTAAGTTTATTCCTAGCTATTTTTTTATTTTAGGTTATTGCAAATGGGATTACTTTCCTGATTTCTTTCTCAGCATGGTCATTATTAGCATATAGGAAAGCTGCTGATTTTTGTATCCTACTTTTTCAAAAGTGTTTATCAAATCTTGAGTTTTCTGGTGGGCCATAGCATTTTCAGTTAGGGATAGTTTAATTCTTCCTTTCCTAGTTCTATCCCTTTTCTTTCTTTCTCTTACCTTATTGCTGTGGCTAAGAATACAGGCACTATATCAAATAAGCATGGAGAGTATATACCCTTGTCTCATTCCTGATTTTAGTGGAAATGCTTCAGTTTCCCTCCCATTCAGTATAATGTTGACTTTAGTTTGTTATGTATGGCCTCTATTATGTTGTGGTATGATTTCTTCCTAGTTTCTTTAGAGCTTTTATCATGAGTGGATGTTGAATTTTGTCAAAGACTTTTCCTACATCTATCAAGATGATTATGTGATTTTTATCCTAGGCTTTTATTTGTTGGAAGATTCTTTGTTACTGCTTCTCGAGCTTGTCTTTGAAATGAGATAGGTTTCTTGTTTCATATCTTTTAATTCATTAGTGAGTTTTTATGTCAAGCATCTTTTTACAGTTGTGAAAATATTTAGATGTTATCCAGATACCTCTTTAAATTGCATGCAGCTGGCTAGTGGCTATGTTAGTTAGCCTTCTGTCACTGTGTTTAATACGTGACATGAGAATCTTAAAGGGAGGTAATGTGTTTTGCCTCAGTTTCAGAGGTTTTGGTCCATGGTCACTTGGCCCCCTCACTTTGGGCCTATGGCAGCATGGTATGTCACAGTGGGGAGGTCTGTTCATTTCATCATGGATGGGAAGCAAAGGGAGAGAGAGTAGTAGGCTGGGTCGCTCTCAAGAGCACACCCCTAGTGACTTAACTTCCTTCCGGTAGACCTCACCTCCCAATAGTGCACGGGCTGTGAACCAAGCCTTTAACTTGTGGCTTTGGGGGAACATTTAGGCTTTAAACCATGGACAACAGCAAAGCTGTGACTGGAAGCTTGCTTTTTTTTTTTTTTTTTGTTTTAATAGTCCAATTTCCAAATCTTTTAAAAAAAATGATCACTTTTATAGTGTAGACTTTTCTTTCAGAGTGGGATGCTAAGCATAAAATGGCCAGGACTCCTTTAATCTGGATGTGTTAAGTAAATTGAAGGGTGATTGAACAGTGTTGAAATCTATAAGAGTTATTTTTGCATGTTAGACATGTGATAGCACATTTTCCGCGTGGTCCCCCTCTGGTTCTGATTGGTTTCCCTCCTTTGAGTTCTACAAAGGTTCTTTTAAAAAGCCAAGAAATAGCACGTGTGGATTGGCCAGAAGAACATGCATGTATCAGTAAACATGAGCATGCTTCTCATCAGTTCACCACTTATTTATTTATTTATTTATTACAAAAATATTATAATTTTTCTTTCTTTCTTTTTTTTAAAAATTCATATGTGCATACAATGTTTGGGTCATTTCTCCCCCCTTCCCCCACCCTCTCCCTTAATCCCCTGCCCCCTCCCTCTCCCCCCCACCCCCTTGCTACCCAGCAGAAACTATTTTGCCCTTATCTCTAATTTTGTTGAAGAGAAAGTATAAGCAATAATAGGAAGGAACAAGGGTTTTTGCTAGTTGAGATAAGGATAGCTATACAGGGCATTGATTCACATTGATTTCCTGTGCGTGTGTGTTACCTTCTAGGTTAATTTTTTTTTTTTCATTTTTCTTTTATTATTCATATGTGCATACAAGGCTTGGTTCATTTCTCCCCCCTGCCCCCACCCCCTCCCTTACCATCCACTCCGCCTCCTCCCTCTCCCTCCCCCCCAATACCCCGCAGAAACTATTTTGCCCTTATTTCTAATTTTGTTGTAGAGAGAGTATAAGCAATAATAGGAAGGAACAAGGGTTTTTGCTGGTTGAGATAAGGATAGCTATACAGGGCATTGATTCACATTGATTTCCTGTGCGTGTGTGTTACCTTCTAGGTTAATTCTTCTTGATCTAACCTTTTCTCTAGTTCCTGGTCCCTTTCTCCTATTGGCCTCAGTTGCTTTAAAGTATCTGCTTTAGTTTCTCTGCGTTGAGGGCAACAAATGCTATCTAGTTTTTTAGGTGTCTTACCTATCCTCATACCTCCCTTGTGTGCTCTCACTTTATCATGTGATCAAAGTCCAGTCCCCTTGTTGTGTTTGCCCTTGATCTAATGTCCACATATGAGGGAGAACATATGATTTTTGGTCTTTTGGGCCAGGCTAACCTCACTCAGAATGATGTTCTCCAATTCCATCCATTTACCAGCGAATGATAACATTTTGTTCTTCTTCATGGCTGCATAAAATTCCATTGTGTATAGATACCACATTTTCTTGATCCATTTGTCAGTATTGGGGCATCTTGGCTGTTTCCATAACTTGGCTATTGTGAATAGTGCTGCAATAAACATGGGTGTGCAGGTGCCTCTGGAGTAACCTGTTGTCACATTCTTTTGGGTATATCCCCAAGAGTGGTATTGCTGGATCATATGGTAGATCAATGTTTAGCTTTTTATGTTGCCTCCAAATTTTTTTCCAGAGTGGTTGTACTAGTTTACATTCCCACCAATAGTGTAAGAGGATTCCTTTTTCCCCCGCATCCTCACCAACACCTGTTGTTGGTGGTGTTGCTGATGATGGCTATTCTAACAGGGGTAAGGTGGAATCTTAGTGTGGTTTTAATTTGCATTTCCTTTATTGCTAGAGATGGTGAGAATTTTTCATGTGTTTTTGGCCATTAGAATTTCTTCTTTTGAGAAAATTCTGTTTAGTTCAGTTGCCCATTTCTTTATTGGTTCATTAATTTTGGGAGAATTTCGTTTTTTGCGTTCCCTATATATTCTGGTTATCAGTCCTTTGTCTGATGTGTAGCTGGCAAATATTTTCTCCCACTCTGTGAGTGTTCTCTTCAGTTTAGAGACCATTTCTTTTGTTGAGCAGAAGCTTTTTAGTTTTATGAAGTCCCATTTATCGAAGCTATCTCTTAGTTGCTGTGCTGCTGGGGTTCCACTGAGAAAGTTCTTGCCTATACCTATTAATTCCAGAGTATTTCCTATTCTTTCCTGTACCAACTTTAGAGTTTGTGGTCTGATATTAAGATTCTTGATCCATTTTGAGTTAATATTGGTATAGGGTGATATACAAGGATCTAGTTTCAGTTTTTTGCATACTGCTAACCAGTTTTCCCAGCAGTTTTTGTTGAAGAGGCTGTCTTTTCTCCATTGTATATTTTTAGCGCCTTTGTCAAAGACAAGTTGGTTATAGTTGTGTGGCTTCATCTCTGGGTCCTCTATTCTGTTCCACTGGTCTTCATGTCTGTTTTTGTGTTCACCACTTTTTTAATGAAAAATGTTGTCAAAATGAATATTCTGAATTAAGTACTATTAAAGTCACACTAAAGCATCATTTAAAAATTTATTAACTTCACTTCTTGCTGGCTATCTCATATAAACTAACTAGTGTTCATTAAAATAGCACAAAGTTTGTAAGACTTGATTGCAAAATTTCCATTAATGTGAATATGTACTTATATGTTTTAATTGTTCCTATAGTAATTATTTGGTACTGATTTAGAAACTCATGGTCTACTAACAGGTAGAACAGAGATCTTTATTACAATGCTTCTGTATTCAGAGAGAAAGGAATTAATTACTATTTCTTCTCTCTGATTAAGGCCTTTTCAAAATTTGTTTTTCTATTTTATAATTAAACCCCAGCCTGTTTAAATCTTGTCAACAGCACAAGAAGTATCACACGGGACCTTGCTATTCATGCTTCCTATGTACATGGGGGAGAGCTTCGTGGGTCTGTACACTCCCTGTTTGTGTGGGCCTGTCCTATCACATCTGGTTTTTATTTCACCTTGTTATATCTCACGCACATTGCTGTGGAGTGTAACTTCCTGATTGACTTCCTTTGTCCCTGACTCTGCTTTTCTCTCCATTTACAGACGGGCCAAGGTTGCTCGCGTTATTGGTTTGCTGGCCTCGCATACAACTGAGCTCCAGGAAAATATACCTGTAATCGAGGTAATTTCTTCTATTACTGACATGCTATGAATGACAATAAAGTTGCCTCTGATTTTGTGATTGGGAACTGACAGCTTTTGTTGAGCTTCATTTAATTTTTATTTGTGGAACTATGGCAATTGGAAGATGACACAGCAGCTCATTTACCACATGTTGTTAAAGGTGGGATGGCAGAGTTACCAGTCTTGTTTACAGCACAGCTCATAACTCACATTCAAATTCTTTTCATATTGAAATTCTTGAATTTCATCCTTACCAACTGTCGTTTAGTTCTTGACGACTCATCCCAGTATTTAATGGACATGTACTAAAGATATTTTCTAATGTTAGCTTTTTTCTTTCTTCCCCCCCGGTACTGGGCATTGATCCCAAAACCTCGTGTTCTATCACTGAGCTCCATCCTCTACCCCTTCAGTCATTTTTTTTCCTTAAGCTCTGATAGCGGGAAGCTTTTTTATTTGGTTAACCATTAATTCCAGGTCCTGGGAAGTGACTACTATCATTGTACTCTCTTTCTGAGTGTTCTTGAGTACTGAAGATTAAGTTCTACCCAATCCTGCTATATACATCTTACACTTAATTGGTGATAGGTTTTTATCTCTTGTACAGAGAGAGGCTCACAAGAAAAACTAGGAAAAAATATCAAGGCCTTTATGGGGAAAAGCAGGAACTTGGGATCAGAAGAAGAGTATATAGAGCTGAGGCAGATGGTGTGGTATTTGGAGCTTTCAGAGGAATTGTTTAGCCAAGTCCTGTCCAATTGAACTTTCTGCTTTGATGGAAGCAGAGACCTGAAGGAAGTGAGGGAGAAGCTCTGCTCTCCGGAAGGAGTATTCCTGATGGGGTGACCAGCAATTGCAAAGGAATAGAGGTAGAGAGATGGCTGGCATATTTCAAGGAATAGGGAGGTGAGTATACTTGAAATGAATGAGGAGGAGATTGGTTAGCGATAGTTAGCGAGGTAGCCAGGGGCTAGATCACATAGCAGATCATATGGACTTGTTATAAGACATGAGATGGGAGTCTATTGGAGGACTGTGAACAGAGCATGGCTTGTGCTTGACAAGGATCACTCTGATATAGGGACAGGGACGAGGTTGAGTCAGGGAGACTAGTTTAGGTATATACACATGTACATATACCTATGCTTATTTCCTAGGTATCCTTTGAAGAGTATTGGCAGATTTGCTGATTGCTGTGAGAATATTTGAAAAAAAAGACTTTAATGCCCAAGAAGCCTGGCCAGTATAAATTCTAATGTTCAATATTTAAAATGCTGTATTAGACTACCAAATCAAAACCAGAATGAACTGTCAAGATAATCACCACATTGGCAAAAATGAAAAAGCCTGTCAATCCTATATGATGGTAAAGGAGCTCTCATAGGTGACTAGTGGGAATATAAATGGGCATAAACATTCTGGTAAACAGCTTGGTGTGTCTCCTAAAGCTGAGTAGATCTGTACCTGTAACTGAGCATCCATTACCCTGTAACCTGATGTGCACATGGCATGTATAAGAAAAAATACAGCTTTGTTTAAAGTAACCCACATGTTTGTCAACGGTAGAATGACCAAGCATGGCATGTCCACACAATGGGATACTAAAGGCATTGAGAATAATGAACTAGAGCATTGGGCAACAGGGTGGCATGAACCTCATGGGCGTAGACACTTGTTCTAGACACATGAGGGCATTGCCTTGAAAGACTGATCTAGATGGTCAGGAATGTCCGGGGGTCTGTGATGGTTGTTGAACAAAAGAAAAGGGTCAGCTCCCCTGTGGGGTGGACACCATGCAGGAGATGGATCTGAGGAATGAGTGGTGCTTGTGGCCTAGTCTGAGGAGGACAGAGGCCAAGCCTGGATTGAGAGGCTGCCCTCATCACTGCACTTTGTGTTTGGGACACCCTGTGTCAGTGGCTGGCAGTCAGGAATTCTCCAGGGTCTAGGCAGAGCTTTTTTTTTTTTTTCTGTGTATGCCTATCTGTAATTTGGTCTCTGAAGTACATCTACCTCAGTAGTTTTTGAGAGGAAAATATAAGGTAGGAAGGAAATGAAATTAGACTATGTGTCCATATGTGTAGATGTCATTTCTGCGCCCCCACCCCCCTTTTTTTAAATCATTGTTGTACTGGGGGTATATTGTGACATTTTTATAAAAGTTCTTAACAATACGTCATAGTTGAATTCACTCTCTCCATCATTCTCCTCTGCCTTCCCCCCCCATGAGACCAACAGTTGTCATTTTTCCATTTCCATACACGAGTACATAATATTTACACCATATTCACCTCCTCCACCCTTTCCTTAAATCGTCTCTCCTCCCACTGTACTACCCTTCTCCCCAGACAAGACCTGTTTTACCTTCCTAGTCTCCGTTTTTGAAAAAAAGACATTTTTGTTTGTTTAAGATAGCTATTCAGGGTGTTTCATTGTGACATTTCCATGTGTATATGTGTTATAACCCAAATTGGTTCATCCCCTCTATTTTTCTCCTTTCTACCTTGTCCCCTTCTTATGGTGATTTCAACAGGTTTAACAATTCTATATTTATTCTTGCATAGAAAGTACTAGATGTGAGTTCTAGGCAGAGGGCATTTGCAGTAATCTGGGACCTGTCAGTCACATGGGTGATGTGGCCTCTTTGTCTGGCTTCGTGCTCATGGCTTTGTCCTCCTGGAACTTGCCACTGCCACCATTGAGAATGTTTGGCTGGGTTGTTCTGGAGCCACACTGTATGGCTTGTATTCTCTTAGATCAAGTGTTTGGGCCAGTGCTCCTCTCTTTGGAGCCTGGGTGTATTGTGTTCTCAAGATGCTTCTCTGACCCTTGTTGCTGCCCCTTTCATGAACATTGTATTCCTGGTGCTGCCTCCACTGAGAGGATAGGTGGGTGTGAATTCCCGAGTTCTCTCATCTTTTATTTTTGTACTCTTCTCCTCCTGGGTGCTTGCTAATGTTTTCTTAATTTGAAATGCAAGAACTTGGGAAAAATTCTCTTATTTCATTAAAAAATTACTGGTGTATATTTAGCTCTTTGGTGGACTATTTTGATGTAAGCATACTATAATAGTGAACTAAATTTCAATGGAAAATGTGAAATTTTCCTAACTTGAGATTGTGCCAGGTGTTCCTTTCTGATGCTAGCCTTGTGTGTGCATGTGTGTGTGATGAGGATCGACCCCAGGATGTCTTTCATTGAGCTACATTCCCTACCTTCTTTGATGCTGTGTTTTATTTTTTTCTAGTTTCTCACAGCACTTTTTGAGCTCTTTGTTATGAGCAATGCGATGTGACAGTTTAAGCAGCCTCTAGAGGTCACTCAAACACTGGAAAAAATTATAGAAGTTTAACTATATCTTTTGACTTCTGTAAGAAGCAGGATCTCTGTTAGGCTTTGTCAGATGTATGATGCTGTGTTTCATCTTTTTTCTCTTTTTAGAATTTTCTGCTAAAAGACTTGGTGCCATTCCATTGGTGCCTGAACCATTTGAGGTTGATGAGATTAACATAAGCCTTGCATCCTCTCCAGAAAAATGCTGACTGAACATCTTGCCCATGATTTCAGGAGATTGGGAACCCCCAGGAGCCCATTAGTGAGCTTTAGGTCAGAGTTTCTGTAAAACTCACAGTGGGGTGTTCGTAGAGAATTTTTAAATAGATCATCAAAAGATTTCAAGTGTGAGATGAGTCTTTCTCCAGTCTTTTTTACTACCAGTGGATAATCAGAATTGTGGTCCAAGGTCCTCAGCCTTTTGTACCCCATGATGCCAAGCCAGCCAAGTCATGTGCTATGTATCTCAGGCACCCAGTCAATGTTGAAGGATTTAATGAATGATTAAAAGAACAATAGGAAAATATCACAAGTAATTTGTTACAGAGAGTAGGGAGAAATAGGGGCCAGCATCTACTTTGCTATCCTTATGATACACTTCATCTTATCTCTTCATGACTCCATAAAAGAACTAGTCATGATCTCTTGTATGCATGTCCAAGCATTTATTGACTTCTTTATCTTTTCTACAAAAAAATGTAGCCATCTTAAATTCATTCTTCTAGATTACACATTACCAATTTGTAACCATTGTGGTTTCTATCTGTAATCATTTTTAGGAAACATTTCTGATACTATGTGACATAAACATTTCTGATAATATGTGACATGTATTTATTTTCTGGCATGCAGTGAATATATTTTAGGAAACTGAATATAGACTCATATAATTCTAGAACTGAAAGGAATATTCAACAGATATTCTAGGTTAATTGCTTCATTAGCACTTTTTACTATGGAACAGCTCATATATAAAAGTAAAGCAAGTAGAGTAAAACGTTTTGTCACTCATGTCAGTAATTATTATTACTTTGTGACAATCTTATTTCATCTCTTTCTTCTACTGTGTCCCCCCACCCCATTCTTTTTTTCTCCCTCCTTTCTCTCTCTCTCGAGTATTTTTAAAGACATCTTTAACATACTCTCTATATATCTCTAACATCTTTTTTCTCAAACTCATAAATCTATTTTCTAACAGAAAAGGACTTAAAATGTAGTCACATTTGCATTATCACACCCAACAGAATCAGCAGAGATTTCTAAATATCGTATCATATCCAGTCATTGTTCACATTTTCTTGATGGTTTCATACATGTCATTTTATAATTTTTCTATGAGCCTGGGTTTAAACTACGTCCTGTACTGTGTTCAGATGATGTGATCTCTGAGTCTCTTTGTTTCAGACATTTCCTTTTCTGTTACTTTTATTACCATTTATTTATTCAAGACAAATAGTCATTTGTCTTAGTCCAAACTGGGATATTGAAAAATTTATTGCACCTGTTTGGTGTCATGTAACATCGTCCTATGTCACCTGCATTTTCTGTAAACTGCTGGTTAGATGTAGACCATTGATTCCATTCAAGCTTCTTTTTGTTGGGGGTTATGGGGGAGGGTAGCAATTCTTCATAGTTGGTGCTGTGTGTTTCCTATTGCTTCACAGG